GGCCCGACCCCGTGTCCGCTGCATCGGCAGGCGGACTCTCAACCACTGCGCCACCAGGGAAGCCCTGTATAGCTTACTTTTAATGTCCAGCTGCCTAAGAGACTCAAAATGCAAAATGACTTTTTATTGAATTATTTCAAGATTTGGGGAAATTGTCCAGGGATGTATTTGACTCATTAGGATAAATTAGTTATTGCTGTTTCAGTTCAACTGACTTCAGTGATTTGACACCTTCTATGTGCCAGGAGCTGGGAGATTGATTACAAAGATGAGTTAGCGCTTGTTCCCGCTCTCAAGTGCCTATAGTCGAGTGGGAGGGATGAACCTATAAGCCAGGAGCAGGCAAATTACAGCCCATAGCTGGTGGCCTATTGTTGTTGTTGTTTTGTTTTTTTAAATGGCCTGTGAGCTAAGAATCATTTTTACATTATTAAAATGTAAGGAAAAAATCCAACAGAGATCAAATGTGGCCTGGATAGCCTACAGTTTTTACCATCTGACCCTCCATTGAGGGAGTGGTTACCACGCACAAGTGCACGAGTTGGGCTGTGGTAGGGCCCGTGATAGAGGTCTGTGCTGCCAGGGGCAAAGAGGCAGGAGAACCGTGCAGGGCTGTAGGAGAGGTGGCAGCAGCTGTGTTGGCTCAAGAAAGTAAACAGTTGTCCCCATGCAGAAAATAAGGAAGGGTCTCCCAGGCAAATCATGAGAAAAGGAGTCCTGGGTGAGGGGCATTTTGGGATCATGGTTGAAATGAAGATCAAAAGGTAGTTGGGGCCATATTATAAAGGGTAATAATTATGCTCAGAGGTGTATACTTTATCATACAGGAAACACGGAGGTGGGAGAGCCTGACAACATAGTTGGACAACATGAAAAAGTGATATCTTCATGTCAGAAAGGAGGAGTCAGAATTATTATTTACTGAAATTAAGAGATTAAGTAGCTAAAATAATGGAGAATCAACTAAAGTTATAACAGCTAATGGGAGTGTCCAGTAAGTCTGCAAAGGTTACAAGCATGCAGACATCTATAGTTTTCTTGAGTATCCCAAATAAGCAATTAGAAAATATAATTTAAAAAATCCATTCACAATGGCAATAAAAATTTAAAATATTAGAAATAGAATTTGTCAGAAATATTTAGTATCTAGAGAAATAAAAATAAACAACCCTAATAAGAGAGAGAAGGATTTTTAGAAAATGGAGGGTGTACCTTGATTGATTTATTGATTGACTCATTTGAGAGTGATGACCTGAGAGCCAGAGGCAAACCCCAGCTTCCTCACTAACTAGCTCTGAGACCCTGGGCACATTTTTTAACTTCTCTAGGCCTCAGTTTCTTTATGTTTGAAATGGGGACAATCACCATGAGAAGAAAAGTAATACATGTAAAGTGCTCAGAACAGTGCCTGGCATGTTGGAAGCAATCAAACAGCAAGCAAGTTAAAGTACAAGGAAGAGAGGAAATTCAGGAAGGAGAGGTTCAAGGTGCTGTGAGAGCTGATAAGGGGGTCGCCTAGTGGTCAGTGCCAGTCCCTGTTTAGTTCTGCGTGGTCCCCTGACCCTCTTATTTTTTTAAAAATAAATTTATTTATTTATTTATTTATTTATGGCTGAGTTGGGTCTTTGTTGCTGTGTGTGGGCTTTCTCTAGTTGTGGTGAGCGTGGGCTACTCTTCCTTGCAGTGTGCAGGCTTCTCGTTGCGGTGGCTTCTCTTGATTCGGAGCGTGGGCTCTAGGTGCCTGGGCTTGAGTAGTTGTGGCTCGCGGGCTCTAGAGCGCAGGCTCAGTAGTTGTGGCGCACGGGCTTAGTTGCTCCGCAGCATGTGGGATCTTCCTGGACCAGGGCTCGAACCCGTGTCCCCTGCATTGGCAGGCAGATTCTTAACCGCTGCGCCACCAGAGAAGCCCGACCCCTCTGTTTAAAGCAGAGATATCCTCCATGTAGTAAGTGCTTGATTGTCACCTCAGGCAAGAAGGGCACACCTTGTCTATTTCCATCCTCCGTCCCAAAGGGTAAGAGTCTGAAGAGCATGAAAGATGTAAAAATTAAAAACAAATGTTAGGTTTTGGGAAGCAGTGTGGATGGAGGCAGGCAGCCTCGTGGCTGCACAGGAGGGAGTTCTGGAGTCATATCCCTGGGCTCAGACCTTGGGCTCCACCACTTGCCAGCTGTGCAACTTCACATGAATAACTTAAGTTCTTTTCACCTGTAAAATGGGGGTCGGAACCTAGAGAGTGTGAGGACTAAAGGTGCTAATTTATGCAATATACTTACTACGGTGTCTGGCACATAATAGATGCCAAATAAGTATTAGCTATGACCATTATCACTTTTACAGATTTTGTATGTAATACAGGTTCACTAGGAACCTTGTTTTCTGGGGAAAAAAATGTTTGTGAAGAAAACCTTTTTTCTGATTTTTAAATTTATTAGTTAATTATAGAAATTTGAGGGACTTCTCTGGTGGTGCAGTGGTTAAGAATCGCCTGCCAGTGCAGGGGACACAGGTTCGAGCCCTAGTCCAGGAAGATCCCACATGCCGCAGAGCAACTAAGTCCGTGAACCGCAACTACTGAGCCTGCGCTCTAGAGCCCGCAAGCCACAGCTACTGAAGCCCACGTGCTACAGCTACTGAAACCCGCATGCCTAGAGCCCGTGCTCCACAAGAGAAGCCACTGCAGTGAGAAGCCCGCGCACCGCAACAGAGGGTAGCCTACGTTCAGGGCAACTAGAGAAAGCCCGTGCATAA